ATATCTACTGTATATCTACTGTATATCTACTCTATATCTACTCTATATCTACTGTATATCTACTGTATATCTACTGTATATCTATTGTATATCTACTGTATATCTACTGTATATCTACTCTATATCTACTCTATATCTACTGTATATCTACTGTATATCTACTGTATATCTATTGTATATCTACTGTATATCTACTGTATATCTACTCTATATCTACTCTATATCTACTGTATATCTACTGTATATCTACTGTATATCTACTGTATATCTATTGTATATCTACTGTATATCTACTGTATATCTACTGTATATCTACTGTATATCTACTGTATATTTACTGTATACGTTCGTAAAACTCTCAATTACTGGCTTCATGGACCAATGGATCATAAAACTATCTCGGTCAGCCATTCATGAATTCATGATGGATAAACCTAGTTGTCTATGAAGTGTTTACCCCAGTTTACTTCATCCTAGTGCCTTTCTTCCAAGGTGCAATGCCTAGAGGATGATGAACTGGCCACGGGACTTAGCATCACTATGCCGCATCATTGCTACCACATCTACCACCAGTACCACCATTCATCATCTGTCATCTGCATCGATGTCCGAGGCCCCTGTTTTGGCCGATCACTTTGGGCTTCCAGAAGCCACGACCTGTCGCAGCATCGGGGAAGCGTCAGGAGACCCATGTCCATCATACCATCCATCAGATCCACATATTGCAGGCACTGGTTCTTCTGATTTCAAACCGCTTCATACTGAAGCCAAGAGGCAAAGTTGGGTTGTATTCATTGCAACAAAAGACTTGGTTGTCCTGCTGCAGCCTTTAAGGACTGGCATATGGACAGCACATCATTGATCCACCATTTCCAAGTTGTTTGCAGATTCACCAAACATAAGCAACAACTATTTGCACCCTGAGCTCTTCGGGTCATTTTGATCTTTCAAGCTGTTGTGCACTGCAAAACGCCACTCTCGGTGCCATGCCGCGGCACCTCGAGAGCCTGATTACCCTTGCCGACAGGACACAACAACCACAACAAACACAACAAACATCCTTTTCTGTGCCTTCTGCGCCTTGTGACTCTGGAAGGTCTGTGCAATGTCAAGACGCTGTATGAAAGTGTGTCCCAAGGAATTGATGGTCCAATTTGTCAAAATCCAGGTACCCAAAACCATCCAAAACCTTTGGTTCCCTGGTTCCCCACTTTCCCATGGATTGTAGATGTGCGTTAAATTTTCGCCTGCAGGCAGCGGGAGCTCAGACCTGTAGACCTCCTGATCATGAAAAGATATGAAATGAAAAGGAATGTTGAGACATTTTGAGACATGTTGAGACTAGAAGTGGTCTGAATTTAGTGATCTATTCGGTTCATGATGGTTCATGTATGTTAACGAGTGACTCTTGCTCTCTCCAATTGACAACATGTTCTTTTTCCCCCCTATGCAGAGCATCAATCCGTATCTGATGGTACTAGTTGTTTTATATTGGGTTTAGCCTTGGGGATTTCCGTTTGAAATCTCTTTCCATCATGTCTTGTTACACAGATCAGTTCGTACTACTACCCCTTGAACTGGAGGTGAAGAAGACCATTCCATGGGTCTTCTAGGTCGCCAAAGACTTTTGAAACTCCGTTCCCGGTCAAAGACCCTTGGAGCGTCCATAGCATCGCCGTCCCCGTTCGAACGACGGGTCCAACGATGATCAACGATGACAGCCGAGAGCCGCATTTGGAAAAGCATTCGAAGCAACGGTTCAATGACCAGAAGTCCTACCGATATGGATAAAGCCACATCGAGGCCATCTGACCACATCCTGACCACATCCTGACACATCCTGACGTATTTGGAGCTGTGCTTTGTGCTCGATGCATGCGCGCGCGAGTTCCAAGGCTTTGCATCGGTACTCCAGAGGAGCTGCACCGCAAGGCGCTGGATCCCTTCCATATTTTTTGAAGACGGAGAGGATTAGGGGTTGAATATGTTGACTATTGTTGACCATTGTTGACCATTGTTGACCATTGTTGACTAGGTTGATGTGAAGACATGTTAAAACCTAGGTATAGATCAGTGTAGATATTTATAGATATTTGACATTTGTAGATATTGTACCATTGAAACTATTTGTAGTGCCACCATGTAGCGTTGCAGGCGCAAGCCCTTGGATTTGCTCAAGCTCAACTCCTTGGATGGGAGGCCATGGAGTAGTGGAAGCCACGTATCCAATTGTGCCTTTTTTGGAGGGGCAGAAAAAATGTAACTTACATTTTACTAGAGGGGGGGGGGTCCAAAATTGCTAGTTACATTTTTTCTGGTCCCTGAAAAATGTAAGTTGGGTAAGTTGGGGACCTGGCTGCCCCTAAGTTACAATTTCCAACCCTGGCTGCCCCAAGTACATTTTTAGAGCCCCCCCAAAGTCAGCAATGGTTTGATTTATCAGATGCAGTAGTTGTTTTTTTGGTTGCAAGATGTTGAAAAGAACGACTTCTGTGAGATGTTCATTTTGTTGATCAAACGACCACTGAGATGCACAAAAACAAGCATCCAAGAACAAAGAAAGAACAGATTACATCCAAATGCAACAATATCCAAATGCAACAATGCCAGGTTTTGCTGGGATTTACCGAACCTTTCAGAATGATTTGAAGCACAATAAAATTAGCCAACATTTTTTTCAATTGTTGGCTCTTGAAACAAACTCAGATTCAATAATGTTGGAGCGTCTTTCCCACCCAGAGAAAAATGTAAGCTGAGTTTGGCTGGGTATCCCAAACCCCTGGTATTTACATGTCCAAAAACACGCATCCAAAAACGAAAACAAATGACATCCAAACGCATCCACCCGCAACAACACTTTGTCTTGCTAAGATTCTTGAGCCACTTGGTAGAAGATGATTCAAAATGATGTCAAACCATATAGAAAAATCCGTTCAACCTGTTTCATTTCAATATATTTTAATGGTGGCTCATGAAAAGACTCAACTTCAACATACTTCAACCATGTTTGAGTGATGTTGAGTGTCTCTTGGGAAAATTCCTTTGCCAGAGAAAAATATCAGCTGGGTTTGGCTGAGTATCCCGAACCTCTGGTATTTGCAGGTCAAATTGCATCAAAACAACCAGCCAAAAAACAAAAATCAATGGCATCCAAACTCAACAATGCTCTATTTTGCTTGCATTTTCGAGCCCCTTGATAAGAAGATGATTCAAAGTGATGTCAAACGATGTAGAACCCTGTCAATCTGATTCAAGATATTTCAATGTTGACTCCTGAACTGGTATTTACAGGTCAAACTGCACAAAAACCACAATCCGAAAACAAAAAACAAATAACATCCACACGCAACAATTCTCTATGTTGCCGGCATGTTTGAGCGACTTGATAGAAGATGATTTAAAATGATGTCAAACGATGTAGAAACCTTTCAAACTGATTCAATAATATTCAATATGTTTCAATGCTGATGGGTAACAGACGCGTGAATAGAGTGAGTAGCAGAAATTCTTGGCAAGTGTTGTATGGACGATTATTGTGATGTATGAACGCTAATCACTGGACATGAGAGTACATAAGAAGTGTGTTTGTTTGTTCCCTCGACGGGATAAAGTGCAAAATTGCGAAGCCACTGCGTTGGATGTGCCTGTATTTTCTGATGTTTGTCACCATACACTTTCCTAACTATCATTTTTCATTCCCTGGGTTTGAGGAATTTGACACCAGAAAAATGTAATATTACAATTTTCTTCCCCCTCCCCTACCAACAGGCAGGGACATTAATTCCAATTATACTTGCTGCAAGAAATTACAACTTAAAACTTATAACTGTATAATTGCATACGGCCTACATGGCCTACGTAGTGCTTTGAATTTTGAGTGTGTGCGGCCCAGGGGCCCCAGAGACTAAGTATGATGGAAACTTAAGACGGCCTCTCCGCTCCAGGCGGTTCGAGCAGAAAGTTCTTCCGTGAAGCTGAGCAAATTTGAAAATGTCTGACACATCGATGCAGTCGAAGCGGATGTCCACCCAAAGTCCGAATCAAAAAGCAACAGCAACATTTCAATGGAATCTGAAATTGATTCAGATGTCGTTAGGTCCTGATCTTTCGCATTTGCACATTTGGGTGGACCGGTTTCGTTGAAACGACTTATGCATCATGAATCATGAGATCTGAGCACCAGCCCTGCAAGGGAGGCGACTCAAGAGCCTCGTTTACGCTCCGTGGTAGTTACGCATGTTAACAATGTCAAGGTTCAAAATTAGTAGGTACCAAATGAGGTGACCATTGGATATTCGGATGAGATTTTTGATAGGATTTTACGCCCCCCCTTTTTTCGAATGTAGATAACCATGGTTCCTTCAGACTTGGAGCGATTTCATCGAAATTGGCCTCTGCTGTTTGTGGAGGCACTGTCGTTGATCCCAAAGAGCGGCAAGCGGCACGAGGGGCCAAAAAGATGTACTGTGCCTTGCAAAGTTATGAGGGGCTTTCCAAAGACTCTTTTGTAACGGAGTGCATGGCTGAGAATCCTTTTAATCAAGAAAGAAACCACAGACCCGGAGTTTTCAAACATTGTTCATATTGTTCCGAAGTTGTGAGGAAAAAGTCGCACTACCGTCGATGCATTTAGAACCCACAGGAAGTTCCATCGTCGTGGATGTGGAAGTGAACCACTCGAGCGTTGCAAATGGGGACCCATGCTCCCATGCTCCCATGCTCTCATGCTCCCACGGTCCCAGCAAGTTTCGAAGGGTTTCCGTGAAATGACGAAGCGTTTTCTGAGATCATCCCTGGTGCCCCATTGCCATTGGACAGCGTTTGAGGATGCAGCTTTTGTGTCATGCAAGTCACCATGGAAAACACACAAAACAAGGATTTTGTGTCATCAGCTGTCTAGGTGCGATAAAAGTGAAGGACGTGAAGGACATGGATAATCAAACAGTAATGATACGAGCAGCCCTGGTAAGCCATGTAATGAGGATTCCAAAGTTCTCCCCATGGATTCTCCACGTCTTAGCATCTTCCAGGGTGTTTGCTATGGTCTCTGCTCGCTCGCCAAATGTCCAGGTGAAGGCGTGGTCATTTGAAACAAAAACAACATCCGAAATGATCCACTTCAACCTGATAGTGTTGCTGCAATCTCTGGATCACATTGGATCAAGCTTTTTTCATGTCTTCACATGTCACATTTGTTCACTGCGAGTTTTTCATGTTGCGACAAAGTTTCAATCATGTTTCAATCATGTTTCAATCATTTCAATCCTAGAGGCCGATCCCAAATCGACATCGAAATTGTGTCCGGCAGATCGCAGGCCTTGTTGGAGCTGAAGGACTTGGCCAACGCCAAGTTGGAGTCTGGAGATGCTGAGGTGGGATTTTGATAAATTTCATAGATCAAAATGATAGATTTTGGACGTTTTGTTCAAGCAAAATGGTGAAAGAAAATTTATGAGAAATCCATGTTTGAACAAAAAATCCCAGATAGTGAACCAGTTTTTACCATCTTCAATTTGAATTCTGTTTGATTCAAGTGGCTTCAGTAAGAAGTTGGAATACTTCCATGTAGCAGTCATAGCAGTCTTGAAAGTTGGCAAAGTTGGCAAAGTTGGCATTCTGTACACGTTCCCTTCGTTCCCTTCGTTCCCTTCGTTCCCTTCGTTCTCTTCGTTCCCTCGATGGATGGAATCCATGGCAGGAGGCGGCTGAGCAGTACACCATTGCCTTGTTGAGACTCAAGGCCGTGGCGATCCCTTGGAAGATCTGGATCAATGTGGATCCAATGTGGATCAAGCACATCAAACACTAAGATCACTAAGCACATTATGCACATTGCGATTTGTTGCAATCGCCTCTCTAAGAATTTTCAGTGTAAAAAGTGGATTTAACAAAGTGTCACGAAGTGTCACTGCCTTCAAAATGTCTTTTTTTTGGTTAAATTCGCCGACACCTCAGGAGGTGGCAGCAGAGGTTCAGGCGGAGTCTCAGACGTTGAAAGCGTTGCTCCTGGCGAATCGAGCGCAGGCGCATCTCAAGTTGCAACATTGGGAGCCTCAACTGCAGTTGCAATGCAGTTGCCTGACTGCAGCATTGCTGCATTGCTGCTTTTCCCAGGTAATGCAAGAATGAGATGGAATGAGATGGAATGAGAAGAATAGCATGATGCGCATGGCACCTTGAAGTTTTCACAAGACCTACCTTTAGTGATCGCCATGCACAAAACAGTCAGATCTCAGACTCAGCGAAAGAACACCTCCCTTTGGAAACGACTAAGGAACTGGCACTGGCAGATTGCGAGGCCTGCCTGAAGATCCAGCCAGACAATGCCAAGGCAGATGGGATATCCCGGTGTACCAGGTGTCCGGTGTTGATCGGTGTTGATCGGTGTTGATCGGTGTTGATCGGTGTTGATCGGTGTTGATCGGTGTTGATCGGTGTTGATCGGTGTTGATCGGTGTTGATCGGTGTTGTATGTTGCTTGTCTTTTGAGTGCCTTATGGATCTTATGGCAGATTCCAAGGTTGAATTTTCTAGCGCTCTCCTGATGCGGCAAACCCAATGCCATAGACCTCCAATTGGGAATAGGCTACGACTTTCATCTATTTCTGGCAAGTCATTGGTGGATGGTTGATGGTTTATGATGGTTTATGATGGTTGCTGGCAGTGGATTTGAGTTACCACAGATGTTTCCAGATCGATGTCGCGATCCCTGCGGAGGCGTTGCATCGCCAAAGTTTGGCGCAGCACGGCCTCGCGGAAGACGAGAAACGTCGAAGCCACGGTGAGGTGCCGTGAAACGAGTGACACGGATGCGACACGATGTGGAGTTCGCAGCGCAGCTTCACAGCTTCACAGATAAGCTCAGTCAAGCTGAACCAAGACCTTCAATATCCTTCAATCACAAGGCGGTCGTGGTACCTGTCGTGGTACCTGTCGTGGTACCTGTCGTGGTTCAGTGTAGCCCCAGGTGCTAAAGCAAGCGCTCTTTTGCCTGCCAGCTCAGCGGAACATCTTGGAAGATAGTACATGGGGTCAGAAAGCCTTGGTGTAGCCCAAACCCGCCATATTCATACGAAAATTACAATAAACCGTGGGATTTCAGTGTCCTGTTTTCAGGCAGACTTAAACGAGTGTTTGGCGGTTCCCCAATGACTAACATTTTGGGAATGGGCAACCAACAACCAGATGATGTAACATGTGAAATTGGGTGAAATGTAAATCTGGTCCATGCGATGCAGGATTAAGCGTTCGAGAAGTGTGTTCCAGAAGTTGTGTGATTTGAACTGGCTCAGGCAAAACTGCTGGCAACAAACTCCTGACGGATCGGCAGTTTGAGGCAATTGTTCTGTCGTGGTGCGTTTGCAATGTGTGGAAACTGCAGATTCACATTGATCCTTTAGTACCTTTAGTATCCTTTAGTACTTGTGGTGAATTTTGATGCTTGATCATTTATCACAAAGCTGCTTTGAAGCGGGACAGGCCGCCATGCGAAAGTATTCTGAAGGCTTGGAGTGGATTGAGGATCTGGATCAAATAGGCGGGCCGAATTCCGATGCTGTGACTGTTTTGAAGGCTCTGAGGTTCATCACAGCATCGCTTTGTTACTCTTTTTCATGAAGCCCGGTTCAGCTGCACCATGATTCACTCATATTTGCTCATGATATTTGTTGTGGAACCCTTCAATATACTACATTGTTACTACATAATATTCAAATAATATTCAAATAATATTCAAATAATATTCAAATAATATTCAAATAATATTGCATAATATTGTAAGCTTCTTTGCCTAAGAGGGTGAGTGAATGTCCCGCTGCGCTTCACCGCATGACATCACCAGGGCGCGACACGTGGATCGCCTTGCGGGCGAACCGCTGCCAAGCGCGATTGAAATGCGGCCTTTGGCGGGGTCCACAGGGGTCCAAGTAAATCATACCATAAATATCCATAAATCAATCATGCAATCATGGGAAACCATTGGAAATGAATGAGATTCGAACGGTTTGAATTCAAGAAACGCCGAATCAACACCTTGGATCTGAAAGATCTGAAAGATCCGGGTCCCATCGGGTCCCATCGGGTCAGGTCTGAAGCGCTGGAAGATGCAGAAGCGATTTTGCTGAAGGAGCCCGGCCACCCCAAAGCGCGATACAGGCGACACCGGCTCTTTTTTGAAGCACAACATGTTGTCACGTTGTCCATTAAGTAATTAAGTTGTTGAAAAAAAACATGAATCTTGTTGAACATGTTGAAATGACATGTAATGGCTTCATGTGTCATTTTTGCTCAGCCTTCTCTCACTTCGAAAGTGTCCCCAGAGTATACCGGTAGGATCGGTAGGGGGTCGGTGTCCAGGCGCGCCAAAGCCTTGTTGGAGTTGGGGCGGCGTCAAGAAGCTGCCGATGCCCTGCAGCAGATGGATCCCAGCAACGAGGAGCAATCGTGAAGTGCAGCGAATTGATTTGAGGCAATGTTGATGATCTCATTTGATTTCTTAATTCATCTTCATTGTCTTGGTTAAGGGTGAATCAGTGAATAATCATTAATAATCTGGGAAGTTTTGTTATATTTGTTGTGGTTTGACCATGTTTGACCTTTAAAGAGGTCATGAATTGTTTTGGGTCAGGACGTAGCAGAGCTGCTTCGCCTCGTTGCAGCGCCTGCAGCGCCTGGGCCGACTGCGGTCCCTGCAGCGACGGAGGCGACGGAGGTGACGGAGCTGGTGCGCGGCCGACACTGCCACGGCGTGCAGCGCTCCGTGGCCGAGGCCGACGAATGACCCATGGCGCGGTGCATGGGCCCATGGGCCCATGGGCCCATGGATCATTCATGGGGCGTCAAGAAGTACACCTTTGTGGAAGAGCATGGTGATGCAATGTGATACAACCGAATACAACCTAAACAATGAAATTGGAATTCATTCAATTGTTGCTTGGAATCTCCAAGAAAGAAGAGAAGAAGAAGAAGTAGTAGTAGTAGTAGTCGCAGACATCAATTCGGCCCATCCTTTGCCGTTTTGCTTCGTGTTTACTGCGATGCGAGCATGCCAGGATGCCGAAGCGAAACGTCTCTTGAAGGAGGCTGAAGCTGCAATCGAAACTCGAAAGGATTTCAGGCATGTCATGGCGTGTCATTTTTTTTAGCCGCTGCGTGCCAGCTGATCGGGGAAGCAGGCAATTTGAAAAACAAGAGTCCGAGTTGAAGTTCTTTTGCACTTTTAAATCCGACATGTCGATCCATCTTGTGACATCCACGATTTCTACCATATTCTATTCAGAACATGGTTTTGTTCACAAACTATTCATCTTTGCTGTGCTTTCACCCGAACAGTTTCTCTTTACAGTGTCCTTCAAAACGGTGCGAAAAAGGTTGAGAAATGCAATGAAATGCAATTCAACGCAATGAAATGCAATTCAATGCAATGAAATGCAATTCAACGCAATGAAATGCAATTCAACGCAATGAAATGCAATGAAATGCAATTCAATGCAATGAAATGCAATTCAATGCAATGAAATGCAATTCAGTGCAATGAAATGCAATTCAATGCAATGAAATGTAATTCAATGCAATGAAATGCAAGGAAATGCAATTCAATGCAATGAAATGCAATTCAAAGCAATGAAATGCAAGGAAATGCAAGGAAATGCAATGAAATGCAATGAAATGCAATGAAATGCAATGAAATGCAATGAAATGCAATGAAATGCAATTCAATGCAATGAAATGCAGTTCAATGCAATGAAATGCAATGAAATGCAATGCAATTCAATGCTATGAAATGCAATTCAATGCAATGGAATGCAATTCAATGCAATGCAATTCAATGCTATGAAATGCAATTCAATGCAATGAAATGCAATTCAATGCAATGAAATGCAGTTCAATGCAATGAAATGCAATTCAATGCAATGAAATGCAATTCAATGCAATGAAATGCAGTTCAATGCAATGGAATGCAATTCAATGCAATGAAATGCAATGAAATGCAATGAAATGCAATGAAATGCAATGAAATGCAATGAAATGCAATGAAATGCAATTCAATGCAATGAAATGCAGTTCAATGCAATGAAATGCAATGAAATGCAATGCAATTCAATGCTATGAAATGCAATTCAATGCAATGGAATGCAATTCAATGCAATGCAATTCAATGCTATGAAATGCAATTCAATGCAATGAAATGCAATTCAATGCAATTCAAAGCAATGAAATGCAAGGAAATGCAAGGAAATGCAATGAAATGCAATTCAATGCAATGAAATGCAATGAAATGCAATGAAATGCAATGAAATGCAATTCAATGCAATGAAATGCAATGAAATGCAGTTCAATGCAATGAAATGCAATGAAATGCAATGCAATTCAATGAAATGCAATGAAATGCAATGAAATGCAATGCAATGAAATGCAATTCAATGCAATGAAATGCAATGCAATGAAATGCAAGGAAATGCAATTCAATGCAATAAAATGCAATTCAAAGCAATGAAATGCAATTCAATGCAATGAAATGCAATGAAATGCAATGAAATGCAATGAAATGCAGTTCAATGCAATGAAATGCAATAAAATGCAATTCAATGCAATGAAATGCAATTCAATGAAATGCAATTCAATGCAAGGAAATGCAATGAAATGCAATGGAATGCAATTCAATGCAATGAAATGCAATTCAATGCAATGAAATGCAATTCAATGCAGTGAAATGCAATGAAATGCAATTCAATGCAATGAAATGCAATTCAATGCAATGAAATGCAGTTCAATGCAAGGAAATGCAATTCAATGCAATTCAATGCGATGAAATGCAGTTCAATGCAAGGAAATGCAATTCAATGCAATTCAATGCAATGAAATGCAATGAAATGCAATGAAATGCAATTCAATGCAATGAAATGCAATTCAATGCAATGGAATGCAATTCAATGCAATGAAATGCAATGAAATGCAATGAAATGCAATGAAATGCAGTTCAATGCAATGGAATGCAATTCAATGCAATGAAATGCAATGAAATGCGATGAAATGCAGTTCAATGCAAGGAAATGCAATTCAATGCAATGAAATGCAATTCAATGCAAGGAAATGCAATTCAATGCAATGAAATGCAGTTCAGTGCAATGAAATGCAATTCAATGCAATGAAATGTAATTCAATGCAATGAAATGCAAGGAAATGCAATTCAATGCAATAAAATGCAATTCAAAGCAATGAAATGCAATGCAATGAAATGCAATGAAATGCAATGCAATGAAATGCAATTCAATGCAATGAAATGCAATGCAATGAAATGCAATGAAATGCAATGAAATGCAATGCAATGAAATGCAATTCAATGCAACGGAATGCAATGAAATGCAATTCAATGCAATGAAATGCAAGGAAATGCAATGAAATGCAATGAAATGCAATGAAATGCAATGAAATGCAATGAAATGCAATGAAATGCAGTGAAATGCAGTGAAATGCAATGAAATGCAATGAAATGCAATGAAATGCAATGAAATGCAATTCAATGCAAGGAAATGCAATGAAATGCAATTCAATGCAAGGAAATGCAATTCAATGCAATGGAATGCAATGAAATGCAATTCAATGCAATGAAATGCAATTCAATGCAATTCAATGCAATGAAATGCAGTGAAATGCAATGAAATGCAATGAAATGAAATGAAATGCAATTCAATGCAAGGAAATGCAATTCAATGCAATGAAATGCAATTCAATGCAATGGAATGCAATTCAATGCAATGGAATGCAATGAAATGCAATGAAATGCAATGAAATGCAATGAAATGCAATTCAATGCAATTCAATGCAATGAAATGCAATGAAATGCAATTCAATGCAATTCAATGCAATGAAATGCAATGAAATGCAATTCAATGCAATGAAATGCAATGAAATGCAATGAAATGCAATGAAATGCAATTCAATGCAATGAAATGCAATTCAATGCAATGAAATGCAATGAAATGCAATTCAATGCAATGAAATGCAATGACATGCAATTCAATGCAATTCAATGCAATGAAATGCATAGTTTCTGCATGTTTCTGCAATATAAATGTCAAGTTTGTACACGGTACAAGGCTGGCCCTGAAGTTTGCCGATGGGGCCTCGGTGGAGTTGGAGAGGCTTCGTGCGCAGGCGGCAGTGGCGGAGCTGCGGTTCAGACATGACATGACATGAACGAAGGTGAACACGACATTAACACGTCATGAACACGTCATCCGGGCACGGTGTGTCAGGTCGATCATGTCGATCACGTCGGTTGTGACAGGACCGCCGCGAGAAAGCACGACAGTTGGCTCAGCAACTGCTGGCTGTGCATGTTCTTCAGGCCACTCGCTTGCAATTTCCCAGGTCAAAGCCAATCTTCACGACAAGCTGCACAGACTTTAAAGAATTGGATTTGCAGATTTGCACCTAAGCTTGTGGGACTCTAGACTTTGCCACCTTTGCAACCTTCACATTTCAAGTTTGTGCAACTCGTGCTGAGAGAGGGAGTGCTTCATTGCTCTGCAGTGTGGGAACTGACCTCATTTTGATTTCAATCAGTGAGTTCCCTTTTTCGGCTTGTCCGAAAATTGAGTACCTCCAACTTGAATGGATTCTGATCCATTTATATCAGTTGATATCAATTTAGTTCAATGTATATCAATGTTCACAGGGTGAAACGGCTCATTTTGGTAACCGTTGCGATGAGGTGCGCTGCCACTTGGCCCTGAAGGACTTCTCTGCAGCTCGAGAGTTGGCTCAGCGAGCCTTGAAGCTGCACCACTACGAGGAGTCGTGATGAGTTGTACGGAAAATCTGATGAGAATCTGATATGGGGATGATCGATGATGATATTTATGATTAGATGATATTTATGATGGTTTATTCCAAATATGACCAAATTGTATATGGATATTGTATGATATATTGTATGATATTGTATGATATTGTTGTTATACCCACTATGAGTAGGGTTATGTATGGTTATGTTATTTATGTTGACTCCATGATTCTCCTAGAAAATGGAAATGATCAACCATGGGCCAAGGGGATGGAATTCTTCTCTGAGCCGATTCCCCAAAAACTTCTGTGGGGTACCTTAAGCACGAAAAAGATCGAAAAGGATTGAAAAGATGTCACCTCTCAAATGATGGGAATCAGTTTCGGAGGCATTTCTGAACAGTTTTGGAGAGGGAAACGCTGTGTTCAGCTCAAATTGCTGAATGCACGGGAAAATCCGACCCAGCCAGCTCCAGTGACTCGTTAACTCAGGAGGAGCGGCTCGAACGAGAGTTTAACATGGCTGCAGCTTTAAGGAGCCCCGAAGGTGAGCGATCTCAAAACAGGAAAGACATAGATCTGCAGCAATATAGTGGGGGATAGTACAATATGAATAGTGACCCATGTTTGCAGATTATGTTGGTCTCAAATTTGTATTTGGCTTTTGTTGTGAGTTCTCATACACAGGCTCAATGTTTGTATGTTTTCTAGGAGTTGTACAGCAGTGGTGGAGACGATGCAAGCGGTCGTTGAGGCTTCCGATGCTTTGCACCTCGACTGCACGGAGAGTTTACAGCTGCTCGCGCTGCTCTTTCCAACAAGTCACGAAAGGTAGCGTCAGCTACCTGAGTTCTCCGTGCTTCAGCACAGTCATAGGGGGTATTGGGGGGCCAGCCCGTGCAATTCATGGAATTCTCGCCGTTATGTATTGGATATCAATTATAAGGGGGGGGGCCCCCCCCCCCGAAAATGGTCATGGGTTCAATTCCCACGGGTGACGCGGTCACGGGCCCCCACATTAGAGGCACACTTTCCATGAGGGAGATGTCCCTGTAGTCCAGCATAATTGGTATGCTTCAGCCTCAATAACAGTTGCTGCAAGGGGGGTTTTAAATAAACCCCTTTTCGTGCATCATTTCACGCTGCACAAGACACCGTATCATGCAGTCATGCTCTGGATAAAATCATCTTAGACTGCGTAAAAACGTTTTTGGTGTATCATCTTAGGGGCGCAGCATTTTGACACCACTCCTCTCCCACTACACTACCTTTCGTCCGCCTCCGCCTGCTCTCAAGTAACTAGGTAACTCTGCCCTTTGGGACTATTTGATACAATAACAACAACTAACACATTATGTATTGTATGTTTTGACTTACGTATTTATATATGATGTATGAAAATACTAATATAATCTCGCATAGCACGCTTTCAGTGCTAAGTGTAGCCTTGGAAGGCCACATGAACCGAATGCATTTCTTGCTGAGTTTCAATTGGAACCGTGTTCACATTGTGTTCACTCTATTCCTCATTTGATGCCCAGGTCGTCCGACATAGAGACTGTCCAGGCAATGCTTCGTCGACTCGAAAAGGCGACGACTGCGAGGACCGTGAAGACGCGGGTGGAATGACGTCGCATGACGTCGCATTGACTTTCATGTTTTCAAAGGTTCCATGTTGTGTGTCACGGGCGCTGCATTGTCAGGTGGACTTCACTGCGCCCCTGCGGGCTGCGTTGTTGGTGCGCAGGGCGACCTTGAGCAGCGACGAGGTGCTCCGAGATCCAGATCGATATCCATGGGTTCTGTGTCCGAGTGCCAGGACAACGTGTACCGAGAGTGTTTGGTTTCCACGTTCCGAACGGAATCGCCACAGAAACAGACTTGAATCTTTCAGCATGGAGTTTGCTTCCACATTTGTCTGGTTTCAGGCAGATATACGCCGAGCTTTGGTCTTGGATCCGTCTTGCAAGAGCGCCCAGGAGCGGGAAATGGCAACAAGAAAGACTAGAAAGGCAACGGAAAAAACCTATGTGGCTGCATAATTTATATAATCACTCTCACTGTCCGGAGCCCATGAATGCAGCGACCAGGATCTGCTGAAGAATCTGAAGGCTGGCGCAAGTGGCGCAAAAAAAGAGTCAGATCTCGATGGGACAAAGTCGGACAAAGTGTTCAAAGTGGACCTGGAAGGGACGAAGGACATGAAGCGAGACACGAGACACGCACAAGCGTGACCAGAAAGAAACATTTGGATACCTTTGGTATCCTGTGGTACATGTTGCATCATGTTGCATCATGTTGGGTAGACGGGGGGGTTTGCCCAAACTTCATTTGTTTTTGTGGGGTTTGGTGGGCGGGGTGGGGTGGGGGGGTGGGGTGTAAAAACGTTCTAACGACTCTTCTCTTCTAGCATGCTACGCTGACGACCCTCGTCCACTAGCATGCTACGTTATCGACTCCTGTCTTATACCTGCTGTCTCAGATGCTTCGACGTCAGGGTGGGGTCGGGTGGGGGGTGGGGTGTAATAACGTTCACGAAAATTTGGGACTTGAAAGCGTGATGTCCTGTGCTGCCAGATACATAGCCTCTGTCAAAGACAGCATGAACCCATGCAAGGCCTATCTGGACACCCACTTGGATCACTCCAAACAAGGGAAATTGACAAAGAAAAAGAAGCGCGAAGTCCTGTAAGGGTTGTTTTCAACATCAATTTTTGAAAAATGGAAGTTGAGTGAATGACGACCATGACGATGATCAGACATGAAAGTAACATGTTGTGATCAGATCAGAACGATTTCAAGTCTTCAAAATGTGGTTGCCACCACACCGAAAGGCATGTTTTTTCCTAAAGCGACATTTAAAGATCAGCAGACCATGATGATGAACATTGTCGATCTCATCAAGAAGGCGCTCAGCTTCGGGCAACCCCCACGTCTACTCATCATGTTGCTACCATTTGCTACCGTTGCTCTAGACAGGTTTTTAAACTTTGCATAGCGGCAAGTGTTACAGAGATACTCGAGATACGCTTGTCATCTCTTGTCTGTACCTGCATCTGTGCAGTTTGATGGTTTGGATCAAAGGTTCCCACAGAGTCTATAGAGATTGAGAGATGTGTGCACAAAAACGAACACAAAACGAAACAAAACGAACACATGCCTGTTTTTCTTCACAGAGGTTTAAGTGAGTCTTAAGATTACCACTTTGGGACAGTATCCACTTTGACTAAGACAATCATGGCTCTTGGTGGCCCTCAGCCACTCTATTCCCTTGGAGCAAAGCTGCTCGGCCCAGTACCAAAGTCCAGGCCTGTCTGGGCTATGGAGTTTCATGAGCTGCGCCAGTCCATAAGTCTGCAGGTTTCCTGCTCTGCAGATATTCGCAGATGGTCAAGTTCAAGCAGATTGTCAAGCCACCAAAGGAATCCCACGGAAAAATGTTTCGTTTTGCATCCAGTCATCCAGTGGAAATTCCATTTCCCACTTCAAATCTAGGCAAATCCGTCAGAATCCTGTGGCCCAAGCGATCCAGAACTGAGCCCAGCGATCATCCCAGTATGTCGACCCCTAGCGTGACCTTCGGCGAAGTTCGAGTGATCAACACGTTTCTGCACGTTGAAGAGAGCAATGAGGTTCCAATGCCAAAGGTGAAGAGCAGCCTCTCAGAACCTCTTCCAGAACCCCTTCCGATTCTTTCGAGCCTTCCAGACCCTCCAGTTCACTTCCCATCCAAGGATGAGAACCTGATGGAGCTGTTGTCAGCAGAGCTGCCCATGATGCCATGGAATACCTATGACTCCTTTGAGCCAGAGAAAGGCGAGGGTGACGAGGGTGACGAGGGTGACGAGGGTGACGAGGGTGACGAGGGTGACGGGAATGGTGAACCCTTTGTCGCCAAGGTTTCCACTTTGGAATACTTCGAGAAGGTTTCCAACTTTGGGCAGACAGTCGAGACGCCTTTCGTGTGCAAGGTGTCCACCTTTGATTTCTTTGAGGATGGCTTTCATGTGCCTGGGACCGAATATGCTGCGAAAGTGACACCCATGGCCTCAGTGGTGGAGCCGGAGTCTCCGTGCCACTTGCGCAACGTGTGCAACGTGTACAACGTCCCAACCTACTGCTCCTTCGATGGCTCCTTCGATGGCTCATTCGATTCCCATGGGTCATGTGTGGCTCCCTCTGAGCCGCAGAAACTGTCGACCTTTGATTCGTTCACAGCAATGCCACCCATGCAGCAAATGCCACCAACGCATTTGCCTCTGCAACTGCCGCTGCCGGCTGGCCATTGCTTGCTTCCACCGAATATGTCGGCTGTCAAGGTAGACTTCTCTTCAAGTGTCTCCAGTGACTCCACTAGCAGCACGCCTTCAGCGAAGAGTTGTGCTTCGGTGCCTTTGCATGTCGAGAATGGGGAGTCCATCCATTGGAATGTGGATGGGCGGAAGTTGGAGTCACAAGACAAACAGATCCTTTCTCCAGAGTTCGAATTGCAGCTGCCTGGCGTGCCAGAAACCACACCCTTCCGACTCATGATCTTGGCAAAGGAGACCAGAGGAAAAGGATGCCGGGGTTTCTTGAAGGCCAGCTTTGGCAAAGGGTAGTTCCTCTTTGGGTCACCAGTTAGACACACTCAAATCAATTCAAACTAGACACGCTAACACCATGAAGCAAATATAAATCAATACCGGTAGTACCGCACAAGGCGGTGGCGGAA